TGATTACTGTTAATTAGTGAGTGGACCTTGTGTCATACAGTTCAGGGAGTGATTGCACTCAGAATTTCAAATCACCCTGATCTCATACACCCAACTGATTATGCAATCACTTGGCCAATTACTCCGATCAGTTCAGTTACTTCTGCTTTTTGATAACCATATAATTCTTAAATGTAACATTAAAACAAATCAAAAAGCATTTTACCATCTACCTCCAAACCAAAACAGAATTTTTGATATTTTTGACTGTTTAAAATGGGAAGTGCCCACGTTCTCACTGTCTGAACATAAGAGATGGATGGTAAATGGTAAATGTGAAATTTTGTGAGAAGGCAAGACAAGCATTTTTCTTTGCAAAACCAAGACATTTTTTCTTCAGTTGGGAGACTGAGACTTCAAAGTGTTTTATGGTTACTCCAAACCTTTGTGGGTGTCCTCCAGAAAAAAATTTGCATGCACGCAGTTTTCAAGGAAATCTCCAGAAACTAGACATCAATAAAAGGGTTATGAAATGTAGAATTCTATAAAATTATATTCTGTTTTGCAGATTGCTTTCTTAAGGTGGCAGAAGCCGTAAACAGCAAATCAACCAACTGAAATTCCGGCAAATTAATGGGGTATCAAATGCCATCATTTAACCAAGATAACTGTGTGGTGTTAATCACAAAGCATCAGTCTCTCAAAGCTTGTCAGCATTTTCTTTTATTTCTATTGGTTATCTTTTTGTAGATCGGTCAAGTTCCACTATCGACAAATTCACGTAAGGTGTTGCATTAGGGGCCGCCATGAGAAAAGTATTTAAAATAAAAGAATTCACCGACACCCTTTAGTTCCTTATCTATCAGTGTTCTGGGCAAATTTCACAGAAACTGTTGATTTTACATACCCTATTAATTCATTTAAAGAATAGGGATTCTCTCAAAAAACGAGCGGGAGTTTTCGCCTGCTAAAGATTTATAAACATGTTACATGTATGCCTTCTCAGATGGGATAGTGTTACAGTCACATTTTAGGCGCACATGTTTAAGGCCAGTAGTCAACAATAATTTGTAAAACAGAAGGAAAGCAATGTGCAACAAAACAAAAAGAAACTGGGGAGCAATTGCCGAAGCGTGATTACAAGGAGTCACTCTTGACAGACATGAAATCTAATATTGAAAGTATTTGATGTAGGATCTCTGGATCAAGCTGTTTGCCACGAAAAGGTCACTGAGGAGTCCATGCTTATTGGGGATTATGACACTTTGACGGTTTATTTAACTTTTATTAAAAAATCTCTTTTTCTCAATAACTTGTGTGCATTTTAATATTTTATTTTCATTTTTTTGGAAAGTGTTACCTTAAATAATGAACTTTAATTTGGTTGACAAAAAGAAAATTTGGCAAAAGTGGCCCGGCAAGGGTTTGGAGTAACCTTAAAAAAGTGCTAAAGATATTCATTTTCTAAGACGTTCAGATGTCATTTATAAAAACAAAGTTAAAACAAATCGATACTTCAAGTGACTTTCTTAGGATGCGAGAAACACACACATCCGGTAAAAAAAGAGAGTGCAAAACCCGTGAAATTCAAATGAAATTTTTGCTAGACCCATAGTTTTTGAGGGGCCATTTGCCACCCCTCAAGGGGATTACTCTTGACGTCCGGGTGAGACAGCCACATGCTTATTTACATGCCTGACATATTTTTCAATTTGATTTTAGAGAATTTTTTTTCATTGATGAAAAGTATTTTCCATTGATTAGTTTACAAAATAAATAATTTCTCATGTTTGGTGACAATAGGCACAGAGTCAGCAGATACTGGCCCGCTCACTGAGGACTTGAATCAGACGTCAACATTACCATCTCACAATGATGTTGCTGAAGAAGATACAAGTACTTCACAGTCAGCTAATGACACAACCATGCCACAGATGGACAGAACGTCAGATGGGGTGCGCTGGAGATGCCCAGCTGAAAGCACACCTCATTCTGACAACCAAAGTAGCATACCTGAAGATTATATGTCAATTCGTGTGAAATTCTTGGAGAATGAAAGGACCTTGTCTGTAAATAGGACAACGACTGTGGGAGAATTGAAAAGGTAAACTCAGCACCTGAGAGGTTATGTAGGTTTGTTTCTGGTTTTAAACTGTGGAGGGAGGTAGAGGGTGGGCAGGAACCTGAACGGGGTCCACTGGAGGTGAGAGTCAAAAGAGAGAGAGCACACAAGCACTCTTATTTCCCACCAAGTTCACAGCACCTTTTCAAAAGAGCAAAACATGATAAACTACATGTATGAACTAATAAATGGTTATTTTGCAATTGCAGGTTGTGCTTCTCAAACGATTTAAACAGTGGAAGAAGGGTGCGGCTCATATACAGTGGACGTTTACTAGAAAATGACACTGCCTCTTTATCTTTTTACGGAGTCGACAACTATTCTGTTGTCCACGCCCAAATTTCTGATCTCAGAAGGAGTCCAAATGAACAGTCTGCCAGGCAAAATGAAGAGGAAGATTTAGATATTTCAAAGCTATTCTTACCTCT